TTTTCCCAAGGGAATGGGACGGTTTTTGCTTCTGGAGGCCTGCTTGGAGCGCCTCGTGGTCGCGTATGCAAACGTCTTGGACGCCCATGGGGCTGTCTGGAGGCAGTCTTGGGCGGTTTGGACCGAATCGTCCCCCGCGTGGGCCGTCCAGACAGCGTTTGGGAGCCCTCTTGGCCTGTTTTGGAGCCCTCTTGGGACCGTCCTGCGGCTTTCCTGGGCTGTTGCTATGGTTTCTGGAGCCTTCGTGGATCGCCCAGAAGCCGTCTTGGAGCCTTCTTGGGAGCCTCCTCGGGTGACAGGGGTCAATCTTGGAGGTTTATTGGGCCGTTGTTGTGGGCCTCGTGAAAGCCCAAGAAGCGAATGTGCTGAAAATGTACGTTTTCCCTCGGGAATGGGACGGTTTTTGCTTGTGGAGGCCTTATTGGAGCGCCTCGTGGTCGCGTTTTCAAACGTCTTGGACACCCATGGGGCCGTCTGGCGATGATCTTGGGCGGTTTGGACCGAATCGTCCCCCACGTGGGCCGTCCAGAACAGCCTTTGGGAGCCCTCTTGCCCCGTTTTGGAGCCCTCTTGGAACCGCCCTGCGGCTTTCCTAAGCCGTTCCTATGGTTTCTGGGGCCTTCGTGGATCGCCCGGACGCCGTCTTAGAGCCTTTTTGAGAGCTTCTTGGGCTGGCGAGGGTCGATTTTGGAGGCTTCTTGGGCCGTTGTGCGCCGCGTGTAAGCCGAATGGGCGAACGTGGTGAAAATGAACGTTTTCCCTGGGGAATGGGACGATTTTTGCTTCTGGAGGGCCTCTTTGGGGCGCCTCGTCATAGGGGCTACCTTTGATCGAATTCGTAGCTCTCTAGGACCGTTCCTGCGTTTGGGGGCCTCCTGAGTGTGCGGAGGATGGATTTGCTCCTCCCCCCCCTCGAAACCGGCTGGACCAGCCCAGGGGGGGGGGGGGGGGGGAGGAGGGGGAAGCATCTTACACGCCGCCGTGACCCCAAGGGGTCGGCGGATTTCGGCTTCTCAACGGAGGCCAGCCTGCCGATTTCCGCCGATTCGACTTCTCCCGACTTGGCCGCCGAGTTCCTCCGATCCGATGCACTTCGATCGCCGATCCAAGTCGACAATCCGACTCTGGGCCCACCCTGCACGGGTCCTGGGCCCCGGGGCCAGCTCTTTCTCCCGAGCCCTTGCGTGAAAGCCCCTGGGGTCCGTGGAGTGCCCCGGGAGCCCGACAGCAGCCCGGAGGGGAGGAGGCTGCCCCTCAGCTGTACCACTTGCTGGCCTTGGGCCCAACGATCCACCGGAACGCCACCCTCTGGGGCCCCGCGGGCGCTTCACCATGGGGGGGCGATAAAACGAGGGAGGATCGGGGATGCAGGAACTTCCTGCAACCTCGTTCCTCCCTCAATTTTTCGCCCCTTGGGGCCCTGCATCTTGTGGCCCCGAAGGTGCACGAAAGGTGCCCCTTGCTTCACCACTTCGTGCCCAGATCTCCGATGTCCGATTTTTGTCAACACCTGGCCCCTGGAGCTCTGGACCGCTTCCCGGCGGCCAGTCGTTCGTCCTGGCTCGTCTCTGGACAGTCCTGGGGCCCGGCGAGGGCCCCGAGGCGCCGCCGAAAACGGCGACACGCCTCCGTCTTCGATTCTCGCCGGCACGTCGGAGGTCTGAGCTCCTTGCCCCCCGAGGCGCCCAGGCGGCCGCGCCGCCTGCGCCCGCGCCGCCGGGCGAGGCGGCCGAGCCGCCGCCGGCCGCGGCGGCCGCGCCGCCCGCGGGCGAGGCGGCCGCGCCGCCGGGCGAGGCGGCCGCGCAGGCGGCGCCCGCGCCGCTCGCGGCGGAGGCGGCGGCGCCGCTGGCGCAGGCGGAGGCCGAGCCGCAGGGGCCTGGGACTCGGGACTCGGATGGGGGGGGGAAGGTGCCGATATCGCTAATTACGTTTCCCTCGTTTTCGCCTTCTTGGGCCTCCTGGGAGGCCCTCGTCGCTACCGCTGGCTGCGCCTCGAAGTTCTGGTCAGAACGCACCCCTGGAGAGGTCTGGGGAGTAGCGGTATGGATGCCTTTTGGCTTCCCCAGTGTCGGGGGTTCGCAGAGGGGAGGGTCATCCCAAGGGGGGGTCAGGAAACGAGCCCAGCTGGACGCTCACATGTCACATGTCCTTGCACGTGCCGTTTCGAGTGATGTTCCTCTAACCCCACCTCTGTTCCTACCCCACCTTCAAAACCCCCCCAATTGGTCCCGTCGAAGGGCCGAAAACGGCCTCAGAATAGATTGTCGAAGGTCCGCGCGGATTTCTTCGATCGGCGCCAGAGCCCCCCTAGCGGCACCTCCGGCGCCGCCCCTGGCGCGGTCCACGCGCAGGGGGGATGTAGCGCATATTCCAGAAGTCCGCGCGAACTTCCGGAAGTTTCTGTTTATCTAGCTGTTCCGTCTTCTATCTATAATATTCTATAGTCCTCCCACACGGGGTCCGAGTAGATGGGGCCAGAGGGTCGCACCGCATCACCGATGCATCGTGGGTGCAACTCGATGTGGAGCTGCTTTCTCCACGCTGGCGTCGCCGATGCATCGGCGGTGCGGCGCGATCCTCCCGCCCGCCCCATCTGCTCGGACCCCATCATGGAGGCCTCTACTGACTCCCGATCCGCCGTGCTTCTCGGGCGATTTCGCAAGCAGGGCGGAAATGCCCGCCCTGCTGTTCAGGCTCCATTGATTCGGATGTCCACCATCCTTTGCCGCAGCTGTTTCTGCCAGATTGTTTTGCATTCAACGGGAGGTATTCCCGGCAAAAGTTCAAGTCGGACAACTTCCCTGGCGAAGGACCCAGCCATGTGCAGTTGTGAATATTGCTGTTGTGAGATCTGCCTTCGGTGGAGCTCCCTATGGTCACGAAGCGCGCGACGGGTGCGCCGCAATGAGGCGGGGCCGCCATGCGGGCGCTGCCGCTGGGGCCTTCGGTGGAGCTCCCTCTGGGGCCGCGAAACGTGAAAGGGGTGTGCCAAAGTGGACGTGGGGCGGCCGCTGGGGTTTTGGGTGGAGCTCCCTATGGGGTCACAATGTGCCAAAGTGGAGGGTGGGCGGCATGGGCCTTGGGTGGAGCTCCCTCCGGGGCCACGAAGCGCGGGAAGGGTGCGACGCAATGGGGCGGGGCCGCCATGCGGGCGCTGTTGCTGGGGCCTTCGGTGGAGCTCCCGATGGGGCCGCGAAACGCATGAGGGTGTGCCAAAGTGGAGGGTGGGGGGGGCCGCCGCTGATGTTACGGGTGGAGCTGCCTATCGGAAGAGCCCCCAAATCAGCATCGTGGTGGAGTCGCTGTTGGCAAGGCCCACCGTGGCCCCAAAAAACTCCAAAAGGCGCCCCCGGATGACCCAAAGAGGGCCCCAGAAGGCTCCGAAGAGAGCCCCAGGAGGCCCCCAGGCGGCCCAGGACAGCCCAAGATGACGCCACAACGGCTTGAGAGAACCCCTACAAAACCATAACAAATGCCCAAACAACCCAAGAAGACCCCAGTAGCCCCCAAGAGGACGCCGACAGACCCCCAAGAGGCCCGCAGGATGCCCCAAGATAGCCCCAGATGGCCCCGACAGCCCCCAGGGTAGCCTCGAATGATCACGCGGACACCTCCCCTTCTTCGACGTCCTTTTCCTCGGGCGCCTGGCCGTCGTCCTTTCTCGTTGTCGTCATTCTTCTGCTCCTCATCCTCCTCCTCGTTGTCCTCCTCCACCTCCTCCTCGAATCGTCCCTCCATCTTTTCCTCCTCGTCCTCGCGCTTGTCTTCTGCTCGTTGTCCTCCTGCTCCCATCGCTGCTCTCCCCGTAATCCACGCTGTCACCCTCGTCATCCGCCGCCCCGTCGTCGCCCAATGGACAAAATCGGCGCTTCCCGTACTTGTCCGATCAGGTTTCGGATCCGAAGTCAGGGGAGTGCGGGGTTTGGGGCCCGGGCGGGTGCTATCAACCTCCAGGCTCGGTGCTCGAGATTTGAGGGCTTGAGGAAGGGAGGGGGGCAGGCTCGAGTTTCTAGGCTCGAGGCTTGGACTTCGGGGTTGGAGGTTTCTTAAAGGTGTCTCTCACTTGTTGCGCCTACGGCTGGACCCGCCCAGGACTGCGGCCAGAACGCATCCAACGATCAGCCTTCTGCCTTGGTCCCGAGAGCGTGTAGGGCGAGGCAGAATGCAAGCGTTCAACTGACCCTCGATCCTATAGACCGTCCAGGCCAATGTGCTAATCTCAGGGCCAAAGTTCTGGCCAGGCTACCGGTGCGAGACGTCGAACGGGAGTCCCCGCTCAAATTGGACCCCTTCCTCTTGCTCCAACAACTCGCACCCAGACCTGCAGCGCCGTCATCGCCTTGCCCTTCCCCGTCTTCCTCCCGCTAGTATTGCTTGCTTCTTCATCACCAGAGCTCCGGAGAATCAAAAGCTTGCAAGACGAAGGTACGACCTGAATTCTGGAGGGGCCTCCTTCCTCCGTTCTGGAGTTTACGTCCTCCAAGATGGGGGTTCGACCTCTGAAGTGAAGGTGTGCGAGGCTCTTTGGGCGAGGGGCAACGGCAGGGGGGAACTGATTCACGGGAAGCCTCGAACCCCAAACGTCCATTCATCGCCAGCCAGGGCCAGAGAGGGGAACGAGAGCCTGGGGGGGGGGAATGGATCGTCTCCCCTTGCGGACGCATCTGGCCTTGCACCGTTGGCTCAAGCATTGTCTGATCAAGCCGCTCATGTCGGATGGCAAATGATTCTGGCTTTGAGAAGGAAGACGCATGTGGCTGGATTATCTAATTGTGGCCAGCTTGGTGCTTCCTTTGGTTCGCTTTCAGGCGCCAGGGGTTTCAGCAGGTTGCGTGTTCCAGTCAAGAGTTCGTATTCTTTTACATCAGAGCGTTTCCTGAGTAACGCGAAGTGCCGAGGTACGTTCGCGAAATTGCGAACTTGTGAGGAAGATGTGTGTGCCTCTGCAGCTGCGTCCAATCATCCTTCCGTGAGCTCACCTGCATACGCTCCCGCGTTGAATGCAGGTGAACATGTCTTTGGCATTGCTTCTCCAGCTGGCACGGGTGCTCAATTTTCGACGGAGGGAGCGCAGTCGGACGAAGACCTGTGCACCATACGCGGGGGGCATGTGCCGCGATTTGGTCATGGACATTTTCCAGCCGCCTGCGGCAAACCTCGCCACCGCGCGAGCGTAAAACTGACACGTATGCAGAAAGGTTCTATCGAGTTCTTCCGACAGTCTTGGTAGAGCCATTTTGGTGCAAATTGTGGAGCATTCCTACGTCGTTGTAGCGTGGTGCGGCGGTAACGTTGCATGGCTGATGCGTCGTTTCTTCGGGGCGCCTTGGAGCCTTCCTGAGGTCATCGTCGATATCTCTCGAGGGCCTCGTGAGGCCCTTTAGGAGGCCCATCGTGGGGGCCGTCTTGTAGTAGCCCTCTCGGAGCGATGCTGGGCCGTGGTGGCATTTTGCAGCCGTCTTGGAGCGGTCTTGGTCCAGCCGAAGGCCGGCAGTGGCGCCAGAGGGCAAACCTGGAGGGCCGACCGTCGGGATATGATCATGCCAAAGGGGGGGAGAGGAACTGCAGGAAACTTTACCAGACGGCCGACGGACACCTAAACACGCACAGCGTGCCGAGGGCACGGTGGCGGACGTGCCCGATGGCCCGCCTCCGTCGACGCAGGCTGGCGGTGCGTCCGAGCCCACGCGCGACGCCCTGCACAGGACGGGCAAGATCGAGCTGGTAGTCTTCGACAAGGACGGAACGCTGACCGAGTGCGACCCTGCTTTTGCCGGCTTCGTGGAGCGCTTCGTCGAGAATCTGAGGAGCGCGGGCTTCTACCGCCTGGCGCAGGGCAGCTCCGAGAGTCACAGCACCTCGGCTTTTGACGCGGAGGTCCTGTGGCCGGCGCTGGGCTACTTGAAAGGGGAGAGGCGTTTCACTGGTGACAGCTCACCAGCCTCGAACGTATCCCTATCCCTAAGATTGACACGCCAAAAGGCGGTGACAATCTTAGGGATTCGCCCTCAAAAGATAAGGGAATCCCTAAGATTGGCATCGTGATGATGAGGTGCCCAGCATAGGGATAGGGATATGTTCCAGGCTGGTAAACAGTGTCATGGTGAGGGGGTCCATGTCGGACGTGTATCACGTCTGCGCGGATGTCCAGGCGCGGTGGCAGGAGAACGGGGGCTGGGTGGAGAGCGACGCGCGGGGCGTGGGCGGCGAGGCCGCGGGCAGCGGCGCCCGTGCCGCGGGCAGCGGTCCGCGGCAGGGCGCGCCTCCGAGCGGAGGCAGGCACCGCCTGCGCCCGATCCTGCTGCCCATCGAGAGCCGCACCGCGAGCGGAGGCACGCAGCCCGCTGAGCCTCACGGGCCCCGCAAACGGGCATCGACGATCCTCGGGAAGTGTGTTTGCAGTTTGCACAAGGCGTGTTCTCCCCGCGCAGCGCCACCGATAGTGCGCAGCCTGCGTTGGCCCTCGTTGCGCCGCCTGCGTCGCACCGGAGGGCTGCATTGGACAAGCGCGCGTTGGCGTTGACACGAGCTCCGGGGATCATCGCGGGGACGTCGACCGACGGGGCCCTCCCCTCCCCCAGGGTGTCGCAGCTGCGTGGGAATTCAACGGGTTCGGCTTTTGCCCTGTGGGGTTGACAGCGTCCCTGTTTGCGAGGTTCCCGTTTGCGGGAGCCCGAGATCCCAGCAGCACTGAAGACGGCGGTGGCAGTCCGGCGGCACAGGGCGGAGTTCCCGCCCAGCTCAGGGCCCACCTCTACGCCTTAGCCAAAGGTTGCATACCACATTTCGACCCTGCGCCAGAGGACGTAGTCGGTTGTGGCGACATCGCGTCTTGCTTCGCAAAATTGGAAGCAGTGGGAGTGAAGTTAGCGGTCTGCACTTCAGACGACCGAAACGTCACTTCGCGCATGCTAGAGGTATTGGGCGTTGACCACTTCGTCCAGACCATGGCTTGCGGCGACGACCCTGGCATCCGTCAAAAGCCCGCGCCCGATGGGATCTTGCAGATCTGCCAGGACTTGGCTGTTCCCGTCGGGCGGTCTGTGATGGTTGGGGACAGCTTGACCGACATACAGGCTGGCATTGCCGCTGGCTGCGGAGGTCTCATTTTTGTATTGTCAGGACATTTGTGTGGAACGGCCGCCGAGTTTTGGGCGGCTCTTGAAGCGACGGAGTTCTGGACAGAGAAGATTCGCTCCGAAGGGAGTGACGAGTACTGGAAGAGCCGGATTCAAGTCTTGCAAAGTGTTGATGATATCGTGCTTGATGAGTTCTGAGCGCAGATGCGCTGCGCAAGTGCGCACTGCACTCCGCCGTCACCATACCCTTGTGCACAGGTGGGTTGACGAGGCGCGCACGGGCTCCTAGGTACTCCAGAACTCCTGGAGCGTGTCCTGAGCCTGCCGCATCATGACGTCGCTCCCCCGGCCTTGCTCGTGCCTCCGGGCCTCCAGCCTCGGGGGGCCGTGGTTTGCAGTCGGGACCCCTCCCCCTCCGGCTCGGTCCTGGCTCGTGCTCTCTTGCGGCACTCCCCACGGGCGCTTGCCGCGCTGGCCGTGGAGCTCGCGGAGAAGCGCGCGCGAGGCCCCGCCGCGCCGCCGGCGGTGCTGGGCAGCTTTCCGCGCAAAAGGCTTCTCAGCTCGGGCGTCCCAGGGGCCTCTCCCCTGCCCTGTGCCTACAATGCTCCTCCTCCCCCTCCTCCTCTCCCTCCTCCTCCTTCTCCTCCTCCTTCTCCGCCTCCTCCCCCTCCTCCTCCTCCTCCTCCTCCTCCTCCTCATCCTCCTCCTCCTCCTCCTCCTCCTCCGCGCTCATCCATGTTGTCAAACTCTGCCGAACCCGTCCGTGATGAGCTTGGCGGTCAGCCGAGGACCCGAGACTTCGAGGAACAAAAGATGGCACAACAACGTGCTTTTGGAGGCCCGCGCGGATTTCTTGAATCGACGCTGGACCCCCCCCCCCCTGGCGCCCTGAACGCGCCAGGGAGGGGGGCCGGAGGCGCCGCTGGGGGGCTCCAGCGCCGATCCAAGAATTCCGCGCTGGCCTCCGAAAGTTCACGTTTATGCAGTTTCTCGGGACGATCGACGTGCGTAGTTCCTGCTTATTTCGAACAGGACTCGTTGTCCGCGCCGCCGTGGACGTTGTTCACTGAAGATAAAGACCGCCTGCCCAACAGTGGCCGCTGTCGGTTTGGGACATCATTTGTAGTTGGGCATCGTATTCATTTCGGGCGTCCAAATGTCTACCCCTCCAAGATCGGTGATCATATGCTTCCCTGGCGAGGCCAGGGGTGCGTGCGCACCGACCCCTGAGCCCAGCGCGTGTTCCTCAGGCGGGGACCGCTGCGGGCGGATGATCGCCGCCCTCCCGCGCCTTGTTTTCCCAGGAGGAGGAAGAGGAGGACCCGTCTTTGCGGCAACCGAAGTCTACAGCAAGTGCAGCGTTGAGCACCAGATCTCACCTCCCAAGCCTTGAGGCCTTCCTCAATTTAATTGCCTCGAGGTCATGATGTTTCCCCCCCTCTTCTCTCCCTCCTCCCGTCGCTGTCTGTCACCCATACCTGCCACACATTCTCCACGCCAGCTGGCGGCCCTTAGGGCGGTGCTCCTGGGTCCCCTGGCCTTGGTTTGATCACACACCCCAGGGCCGACCTGCCCCGGGGGGGGCTTCGTCGGGCGGCGATGGTGTCGGGAGGGTCCGGCGAGCCGGGTGCGCTCGTGCCGTGTGGGATTTCTTGTCCCGCGTTCCCGTTTTTTCCCGCCGTGTGCTGGTGTTTTCTCTACCCGCAGGCGCGCGTCATGGCCAACCTGGGCTTCCAGACAAGACGCCGTCGTGTCATGCGCAGTCGAAGAAAGGGAGCTGCGTACACAGGAGGGGGACGAGCAGCTGGCGGGAAAGCAGGAGGATGAGCAGGAGGAGGAGGAGGAGGCGCAGCAGGAACTGGAGTGGAAGGAGTGGTAGGAGCAGGAGGATCAGGAGAAGGCGGAGGGGGGGAAAAGAGGGGGCGACAACGATGTGAAGGGACTCGGATCCAGAGAAGTGGCCCGCGCTGGGGCGAGAGCGCCATTCTGAACGACGGGAGCACAGCACCGATCCGACGATGTGGTCCACGCTGCAGAGGGAGCACCATTTTGAAACACTGAAAACAGTCGGAATGCAAAAGCAACTAGGAAGTTGCATGTTTTTAATAACAAAAAAATGTGGCGTGCAAGACCAAGACGCAGAGGGGTCGGGATACCTCCCGTACGTATTTAGGGGAGATGGGAGAGTAGTATTCATGTTGTATATTTGTAGGGGAGGAGGATGGAGGAGGAAGATCCGGAGCAGCAAGAGGAAGGATCGAGGATGGATGTGACATGGATGGTGGAGGCTGGAGGAGGATGGAATAGGAGGAAATGGAGGACGGAGGATGAAGGACAAGGATGGAAGAGGAGGATTGAGGAGGATAGAGGAACAAAAATCAGGACAGGAGCAGGAGGAATCTGAGGAGCAGCAGCCGCAGGACGAGTAGGTGGAGGAAGACGCCTGTCGACTGACGACTGACGACGTAGCGGCTGACGACTGGCGGCTGACGGCGGCAGCGGCGGCAACGACAACGATGACGACGACTGCGACGGCTAACGACTGAGGACCGACGACGAAGACGACGACGACGAGTGAGTGACGACTGACGGCTAACGGCTGACGACTGGCCAGTGACGCTAACGACGACGCCGACGCCGGTGGCTGGCACTTGCGTTGGCGGCGACGGCGGACAGGCGGCGACGGCGACAACGACGACAACGACGACGACAACGACGACGACGACGACGACGACGACGACGACGACGACGGCGGACGACGGACGACGGACGACGGACGACGGACGACGGACGACAGACGACAGACGACGGACGACGGACGACGGACGACGGACGACGGACGACGACGACGACGACGACGACGACGACGACGACGACGACGACGACGACGACGACGACGACTAACGACTAACGACTAACGTCTACCGACTGACATTTGACGTCCAACGACTGACGGCGACGACAGCGTTGGCGACTGACGACGGACGACTGACGGCCTCGCCTCCCTCGGGGGCGTGGGCGCGCCCTGGCCTCGCCAGCGGGGGCGCCGCTGGCGGGACCCCGCAGGCGCCCGAGCCCCCCCCCGCCGCGGCGGAGCCCCAGGCCGCGGAGCCGGCGGCGGAGCCAGGAGCCCTCCTCCTCGTCTCGCCGTGATTGGGTCGGACGAAAAAGGCGGGGGTAGGGATCGGGGGGGTTGCGAGATGCGTTGCATGCAGCTGGTCTCGGCCCCGTCGCCGGGCGCTCTCCCTGATACACAGTGTCGCCTGAGGCGCCAGAGTCGGGGGAGCGTAAGACCCGGGTTTGCCAGGACTCGGGTTCGCCATCGTTTTTTGACGACCGCGCCTCGGAGTTTGACGAGGAGGAGTTTCGTGGGATGTCTGCAGCGGGAGGCCTCGTCAAAATGCAGGCTTGGCCTCGTCATTTTTGTTGACGACCTCGTCGGGGATTTCCGAGTCCACTGTACCCAGGTCTTACGTCCCCCTGACAGAGACATAAGCTATGTGAGCTGACTTGCCAGCCCCCCCCCCCGTTTGCTGAGCCTTGCCTTCGTCCGGCCCGCCTGGTCTCGCCATGGAGGAGGAGCGTTCTCCAGGCAGCACCAAGCAGGTCGCAGAGCCGAGGCAACGGCGGCTTCCCCTGGCACTTTTGGGGCCCGCATGGACGCTGCACGTCGCCACGGGTGGGGTCCGCCTCGAAAAACGTGTTACAAGCCTCATCAAAAAATAAACAGAAACAAAGTTGGAAATCACGACGATCGATCTTCTCGGGCACTTGTTCGAAACTGCGTTCTTCCATGCTGCGGAGGGGTCGTCGGATTTTTGAAGCCCTTGCGTCCACGTCAGATATGTAGCGTCAGCATTGGAGTAGCGCTGACCATACAAGCACCGGAAACGGAATCCCTCAGTTTATTTTTGACGAGGGTTGTAGGATGGATCCTCCTCCTCCTCCTCCTCCTCCTCCTCCTCCTCCTCCTCCTCCTCCTCCTCCTCCTCCTCCTCCCCAGGAGGGGCCTGGAGGCTGCTGTTGAAGGGACCGGGGGCTGGGCGGGAGGGCCGCCGCTGCCTCCAGGGGCCCTCCGCTCGAGCTGGGCCAGAGCGGAGGAGGGCGGTGCCTCGCGCCGCGTCGCCGATGCGTCGGCGATGCGGCTCGACGTAGAAAAGCCCGATGTTCGCCACGCCGACGTCGCCGATGCATCGGCGAGGCGGCGCGATGCACCGACCACATCGGCTCGAACCCCACTTGGGCGGCCTCCTGGTCCTGGGGCAAGCGGGTCCTGATGGTTTTTGTCGTCTCTGGCCTCTCTGGACCCTCACGGCCTCACTCGACGCGGAGATCCCCATGTATGCATAGCATTTCCGGGCACTTCCCGCTGTGATTGTCTAAGCGAGACGAGAGGGTCTTGGCTTGTGGCGCGTGAGCGTTTCCTCGCAGATCCCCCTCCTGGAGCACACAAATGCGATGCTTGCTACATCGGGCTGACCTTGCGACTCTGACAGGAGAGGGGTCGGGGGTGCCAAAGCCAGCGTTTCGGTTGAGACGTCTCCACGATCTGGCCGCGAACGAGCAAGTGTAACCCCCCGGCGGCTTCTCCTTGGGCTGCCCAAGTGCCACGGCTGCTACATCGCGGTGATCACGGGGCTCTCAAGACGCAGACGAGCAGAGGCATCCCCGCAATCGGGGCGCGAACAGGGAAGTGCCCCCCGCAATGGCGCTTCCTCCGTGGAGCGTTCGAATGCCACGCCTGCTGCATCGCGGTGACCGCGGGGCTCTGAAGGGAATGGGCTCGGAGGCCCAAAACGAGCGCTCCGCTCCGGACGTCCCCACAGCCTGGGCGCGGGGCACGTGGTCCCCCTCCCTGGCGGCCTCTCCCCTGGGATGCCTGGATGCCACGCCCACCACACCAAGCCGATCACGAAGCTCTCAAACGACAGACACGAGAGGCGTCGGAGGGGCAGGCCGAGCGCCCTGCTCGAGACAGCCCTGCGGCCTGGGCGGGAACGCTGCTGGCCGGCCCGCCAATCGGAGAGGATGCACGCAGAGAGCAGCTCGCTCGTCGCCAGCGTGACCTCCGGTGTGCGGCCTCCGGGGAGCGCGCGGGGAGGAGGAGGAGGAGGAGGAGGAGGAGGAGGAGGAGGAAGGAGGAGGAGGAGGAGGAGGAGGAGGAAGCATGGAGGAAGAGGAGGGAGGAGGAGGAGGAGGAGAGGAGGAGGAGGAGGAGGAGGAGGAGGAGGAGGAGGAGGAGGAGGAGGGGAGGGGGAGGGGAGTGGAGGGGGAGGGGAGGGTGAGGGGGGGGAGGGGGAGGGGAAGGAAGGAAGCGCAGGAGCAGGAGGAGGAGGAGGAGACGGAGGAGAAGGAGGAGAAGGAAGGGCAGAAAAGAGGAAACGGGGAGAAGGAGGAGGAGGAGGAGAAGGAGGCAGAAGGAGGAGAAGGAGGAGAAAGAGGAAACGGAGGAGGAGGAGGAGGAGGAGGAGGAGGAGGGGGAGGAGGAGAAGGAGGAGGAGGAGGTAGGACTAGGAGGACGAGGAGGAGGGGGAGGAGGAGGAGGAGGAGGAGGAGGAGGAGGAGGAGAGGAGGAGGACAGAGGACGAGGACGCGGACGAGGACGTAGGCACGAGGAGGAGGAGGAGGAGGAGGAGGAGGAGGAGGAGGAGAAGGGGAGGAGGAAGAGGGAGGGGGAGGAGGAGGAGGAGGAGCAGAAGGACAAGAAAGGGAGGAGGGAGGAGGAGGAAGGAGCGAGGAGGAGGAGGAGAAGGAAAGAGGAGAGGAGGGGAGGAGTAGGAGGAGGAGGAGTGAAAGGAGGAGGAGGAGGAGGAGGAGGAGGAGGAGGAGGAGGAGGGAGGCAGGAGGAGGAGGAGGAGGAGGAGGAGGAGGAGGGGAGGGGGAGGGGGAGGGGGAGGAGGAGGAGAAGGAGGAGGAGGAGGGGGAGGAGGCAAGCTAGGTGCGCTCGCGTCATATCTGACGTCCTACCCCTCCCTCCCATCCCTTACCATGGCGCTGGTTTTCTCTATCCGCGGACGCGTGTCGTAGCGGACTTGTGGCTCCGCGCGCGCGTGCGTAGTGGGTGGTGGTGCGCGTGCGTGCGTGTGTGCGTGGTTGTGGTGGTGCTGGTGCTGGTGCTGGTGCTGGTGCTGGTGCTGGTGCTGGTGCTGGTGCTGGTGCTGGTGCTGGTGCTGGTGCTGGTGCTGGTGCTGGTGCTGGTGCTGGTGCTGGTGCTGGTGATGGTGCTGGTGCTGGTGCTGGTGCTGGTGCTGGTGCTGGTGGTGGTGGTGGTGGTGGTGGTGGTGCTGGTGGTGGTGGTTGTGGTGGTGGTGGTGGTGGTGGTGCGGCGCGGTGGTGGCGGGCGGATGGGCGCGCGAGAAAGAGGCCCGCGCTGGGGCGAGAACGCCATCCTGAACGACGGAGGCCAAACACCGATCCGAAAATGTGGCCCACGCTTCAGCGGGAGCACGATTCGGAACGATTCGGGAGCAGAAATGAGGCCGGCGCCTCAGCGAGAGCAGCATTTTGAAAAAAAAAAAAAACACAAGTGAAAACCCGTTTCCCGGGAATCCTGTGTGTAAAAAACAATACGCGGGGGGGTGTCGGATATCTTCGGGACGCCATCAGGGGAAGTGGGAGAGTATTTTCATATTCTCATACGCACCTCTCCGAGGGAGTAAAGCTCAGAGGGGATTAATGTGTCCGTGCGTGCGTCCGTCTTTGATTTTTCTTGCCGTTTCGCTCGGGACATCCTCGAAATTCTGAACATCGGTGGCACCCCTCACGCAGATCGTGAAGGAGAGGTCCAAAAACACATAGGAATTTCAACATTTTAACATAAACCCTTCAAAAACACATGGTAATTTCAATAAGTTCGACCCCGATTCTCAGAGAATGGCGGTTTCGCCTGAGACATCCTCCCAAAATCGAGCCCCAGACCCCTCCTCGGAGCCTCCTGGGGGCCTCCTGGAACCTCCTGGGGCCTCCTGGGGCTTTCTGGACCTTCTGGTACCCCAGACCCCGCCTAGGAGCCTCCTGGAGTTCTCCTGGGCCTGCTGAGGCCTCCTGGGGCTTCAGAACTACATGCACACACAGAGACACAAATCACGCCCAACACATCACACGCTAGACAAACATAACATACACACACAACACCGACACCACACAAAAAGCACGCACCACACAAAGCACACATCACACACACAACACTCACAATCCTGGGGCCTCCTGGAGCCTCTTCTGGTATCCAAGTCGGGCCGGGCCTCCTGAGGCTTCCTGGGGGGCCCTGGTACACACATCGCGAGGTGTGGCAACCCCACTTGCGCTCGAGTGCGACTTCGCTGTTGCATGTCACTCCTGCTTCAAACGCCCCTTCAGCTTGTTGTATGAGCCTGGGCACACACGTGCCACTTGTTGTGTAATTGAGGAGGATGAGGAGGAGGAGGAGGAGGAGGAGGAGGAGGAGGAGGAGGAGGAGGAGGAGGATCTGGGAGGAAGACCTGGGAGGAGGAGGGCACGCGCCAGCTCTGAACCTTCTGAGAAGACTTCGGGGCCCTCTCCGAAGTCGCAGAGGGAGCTTCAGGAGGTCAGGTACTGGGCCTCCTAGACTTAGGTCCGACCTGTCCCTCTACAGGAGGAAAATCCAATAATAGGCGAAACAAAGTATGGGGAGGATTTTTTCTACCATTTTTGAATATGTTTAGTGTGGTGGTGGTGGGAGGGGATATCGGCTGGGGAGCCTCCCTTCGCCTCTCCATCAGCACTCAGGCCCTGGCCCCCGACCCGAACCCCAGAGCAGTATAGGTGAGGGAAGGAGAGAAGACCAGGAGGAATTAGGCGGGGCGGCCCCATTTACTACCAGAACCCCGTGCTGGGGAACTCGGGCATAGACCTTGTTCCATGATGGCGCATCATCGGGACATCGACCCTTGCGACGCCCGTCCTGGAATAACATGCCGATAATAGAGGCACGAGTAAGAAATCGAATATTGGCACCCTCGGAACAAAAGCACAAACACGATCATGTGCACACACGCACACACACACAACACGCAGACACATGACATGTGCCACATGACATGCGCGCACACACACAAACACACACACATGACAGGCGAACCCCGCGCACTCCCCAC